GGGCTTGTATAATTTGTATTGATTAGAACTTTGCACCTATGTAGATTATAAGTAACAAAACGGGTATAATTATGTAGCTTTACACTAAAAATGATAAAATAATAAAATAAAAACTGCGTTTAAAAAACCGACTTCAAAAAACCAAAAACTAAGAACAAACAAAAAGTCAAAACTAAAAAGCAAAAAATAACTATTATTAGTACTGATAGGTTGCCCACCCACTGATAGGTTAGAAGTCGGTGCCATAAGCTCATATTATAATGATATAACTTAATGTCCACAAAATTGTGAATTAGGTACCTATTAAGGTTTTGATGAATAATTTTGTATGGAACTGGGCAATTCCCAAAATATTTGGCCAAGCCGTCCCAAAGATGAGAACAGTACTCCATACAGGACCGAACCTTTGATTGGTACAGGCTCAGCAATTGATTCAGTGTGAAGTACCGTCTCACTAATCATTTTCTCTATTACTGTTCTTAGTTAATGATGTATATCATTACTCTAATACTCATTTTACTTTAGTCTTTTTTAACATTTTGACTGCCACAGTTGGCCAACAAATTGAATGTACTTAAAAATCTTGTTTTCTTTTCGGCTTTGGACGACTTGCCATATTTTGTCTTTTCTTATCATTTTTAAAGTATCATCATGAGTAGTCATTATTAATAAATGATAATGTTGTATGAATATTAATTTTTATATCCAATACAATTTTTATACATTGATTAATCATCATTTAAATCCATAAAATAAATTGCCAATAGCTGCTTCGAGTTTACTGGATAGGATCATAAAACTCTGAGAATAATACATAATTAAATCCCATTAAACTTTTCTACTTGTCTTAGTTACAATCTCATTTCACTTGATAGTAAAAGTACAAACTAAAATTAATTTTTTCACAGCCAAAATAAATATTGTTGGAAACTTTTTTATAAGATTCAATGAGCTGGGGATATCTAGATATGGGATAGCTATAATAATGTAACTTTTTCGCTGGGCATTGAACTTAAAGCAAATGTTGGGCAAAACACTTCGCTACGCACATTCGGCTGAGCCTTGCTCTTTATTTAGGGTGCTACTGTAATAGCTACAGTAGGATATAATCAAATAATGAAAGGGATTAATTACCTTGCCTTGCTACTTCATCAGCGTCAATTACTGCTATGCCATTCGATCGAAATATTGAAAGTACTGTACTTTTTCCAGTCGCCAGTCCACCAGTTAGACCTACTATAAACATGTTGCTTGAATAATTTAATAAGCTATGCTAAGGATAAGCTACATTCAGCGCGGAGGCGTAAATATCATTAAACGAATTCGACACGTTGATTAATTTAAACAATTTAGAGAATTGAACGCCGCGGACCGCAGCTTGATTTCTTTGACAAGTATGACAGTTGACACTTGACAGCTATCAGATGGGGCTGCCATCTCACAAAACCAAATTAACTATTTTAGATGAACGCTCGAAAGAACGAAAACCATTCTCCTCAATACGATGAGAATTCCGAATATTGCATATAAATTATTTTTTTAATTAAAAAAGTGTAAGCATGTTTACTTATTTAAGTTTAAAATATCTCCGTGTCACCGTTAGTTATTTCATTATGTTATATTTTATAAAGTTTGCTATGCTTTAGGTATTTAGATTTATGGATAGATTTAATTCAAAGATTTGCAGGAAAATTAGTAATTTCAAAAACAATGACAACAGGTTTCATCATTGACTCTGGTATTTCGTTGACAGTCATACTTTTAACTTTTGTTATTTATTTTTGGCCTTTAGGCACTCTTTTGGAATATTTTTTTATATCACAGAATATATAATGTAGATATGTTTTATATAATTGATAGATTTTTAGAATTTAGCCACTATCTCGCTTGGTGGTAAGCACGCCCAGTTGGATTAATACCTACTCTAAGTAAGATAAAAAAAGGTGTCTACTAATTAGCAGACACCCTAATTAAACATTTTTCATTTATGAACACATCAAATTACGGTTTGAAATACAATAAATAGGTAATAAGTAAAATCTTGGTTAAATCTAAGAAAACCTAGGCTTATTCACAGCACCTACAACTCGAACCTGAGTAGGTAATTAAATAAGATATCAGTTAATTGAAAAATGTAAATTACCTACCTAAATAAAGTAAACTTTAAATGTAGGAGCGACTATAACATTATTCAGCAAATAAAGAAAAATGAATAAGCAATCTACCGAAGTGATCAAATGTGCAACTTCAGCTGTTTTACTATTTTTAAAGCTCTAAAACTATAACACAAAGCAAAGTGCTTATTTTAAGGTTTCTAATGTACTAAGTGTGCATGAGCCATACTTCGGCAGTTCAGCAAGAATGGGCCGACTTGACGGGGTGATACAACGGCCTCACAGAAAACCGACGTGTAACAATACTTTTGTTGAATTTCGTCGTGTGAGTGAGGTTACCTGTAACCCAACAATTGCCTACCTTTCTTAATCTCTCTGTTCCCCGCAAATCTCCAACAATCCTCAAAATCCCCAAGATGCCGTCTACGTACTTGTAACGCCTCTGGTATTGCGTGTGTGGCGCAGGCATGGGCAGCGCCGATTATTTACCATCAGCTGAGCTCTCTGCTCGTTTACCGGCTATTATCCCATAAAAGAAAAATCTCGTTTTCCTTTCATAAGTTCGAATACACTAATATAGGTAAGTCTTACTTACTGATGATACCTACCGTTCGTGTTAGGTACACCTATAACCGACACGTTAAAATTGACTGAAAAGCGCCAAAAATGCTTATCGCACGTGTTCAGATAGTGCATACAGATATCAACTAGCAATTTAACAATTTGAAATCTTTTGATACATTACAATAAAGTTTAGTTTATGAACTAACCATTATTATGTTAGAAATCTGTTAGTAACCATTTCATTGGGGTCTGCACTACCCCTCAAAAATGTACGGGTTATAGAGAAAGAAGGGTATTGTTTCTACTATACGGAGGGCCACATTATTTTGGTCGATAAGCACGTGGGCGGGGAGCTTTGTGTTAGGGCGGAGTCTGATACCGCAGAACCATCCCTCTGACCCTCAGGACGTCACAATGTCGCTAACTGTCATAGGTAGCACAACTCCTGAATTGTTGATACTGATAACCCTGTGAAATTAGAAAGAGATTTCCTAGTCATGTGTTTTGTGGTTTAAGATTTAATGCTAGTTGTTTAATTTAATTTTCTCGAAATGGATGGACCTAATGGAATTAGATGTTCTTCTATGGACAATACGAGTGTAGTGCCCTTGCCCGTGGGAGGTTCACCGACTTCAGCAAACAGTTCCGACAATTATATGTACGATGATTCTTCAATGTCTGACGGAAGCCTTTACGCTAGTGATCAAGAAAATTTATCGACTCCGCGAAGAAGGTAGCTACAACGATTTTATTGTTACGACAATTTATTATTTATTTATTATAAATAATTGTTTACAATTTGTTATCGCCTCGCTATATTTCATTATTTAATATTTTACTTTATATTTTTTTAACTGTTTCTCGTATGCATTTTTCTTTATTTCCAAACCCAATTATAGATTACCACGGCTAGCTACACCTATCTTATAGAGGTTTTGCGAATGCAATGCATATAAAAGTAGAAAAATAAGGATCTCTATACAAATAGCAAAAAGGTTTATTAGCCTACGCACTCTGGAATTCCTTGTAGTAAATGAATCGAGTCCTAAATCTTTACACAATTATTAAAATCCCTACTTACTCGCACAATATATTCTGACTATAATTTGAGGAAGCATTTGGGACAGCCATTGGTGGGTTAAATCGAACTGATTTTTTCGGAACAAGCGACAGCTTATGCAGAAGAATGTCTAAGCAATCGATCTCGTTATTCAGGATTTTGACAAAATATCCACTATTCGACGGCGATGTATAAGTAAATAAAGATTATAAATAATGAAATCTTTTGCATAGTTCTGTATAGTTTTCAGATTGATACGGTATTTTCAGACGAAAACAAAGAAAGCGAACAAATCTTTTTTGGGTGCTCTTATGCGGTATATATACTTGTCATAGCAGGGGTTCCAGATTTGGGAAACGTATGTATCTTAATTGTTTTAACCCTCCTGAAACAGCCCCCGAGCTTCTATACAAAACCTAGTCTTATAGGCTTTCGCCACCATTTGCTCATTGTGAGTATTAAATAGGAGTTTTGAGACATCATGAACGCCCAGATCCCGCACTTCAAAGCTACTAGATAATATTGAAATGGAACAACCTTCTTACTAAAAATAACCACAAAGCATCTAGTGGGATTTAAATCTGACAAACGATGGAGCCCCCCCCCCCCCCTAAAGCCATTAAAGAGAAGTTTAGTTATTAGGATATCATGATCGATTCTATCAAAACATTTGCTGTAGTCTGTGTAAATCACATCGACCTTCTCACTATTGTCCATTCTATCCGTCAGATAGTCATTTAAAACCAGTAGACTCGAGACCGTAGACCTACCCCTAAGAAACACCCGTGCTGAGATGAGCTGAACGATAATTGGAGTGCTGCATAAGTACCTAGGTACACTTGATCATAGACTACTCGCTAATAAACTTTTGCCAATATGCATAGTATAGAAATTGGTAGGTATATTTTATAATTTATTTTTTTTATCCTTTTTATGAACCGAATAATAATTAAACTTTGTTTTCGCAATCCATCAATACATAGTATAAAACAAAGTCGCTTTCGCTGTATGTCCGTATGTATGCTTAGATCTTTAAAACTACGCAACGGATTTTGATGCGGTTTTTTTTAATAGATAGAGTGATTCTTAAGGAAGGTTTGTATGTATAATACATGCATATTGCACCCGTGCGAAGCCGGGGCGGGTCGCTAGTATATTATATAAGGCACTAGACAAGCGGCAATTGAATTTTTTTTTAAATAGTAACGGAACCGGTTTTCTTTTGTCTTTGCACAGCCAATAAGGAATTTTGGTGATAAGAGATCAGGGCCAGCCGACTTAAAAGGGTTGAGTGACTGCTCAATAACTTCAATCGTATGAATGTCCGACAGCATATTTGAATAGTGGTCTACCGGAAATTGCTCAAGATCCGAGGCAGTCATTGCGGTTGCCATCCGGGGTAAGAAAGGTAGAGAGAAAAATTATAACAAACAAGTTACAGATAATTACAAATTATCGGACGAGGAAATAGTCGAGTCACCATATTTAAAATTGTTTGGCATAGCATTAGGTAGTTCTCGACGTTTTACAAAACTCCAAAAACGTTTAGGGTTATCTCCACAGAACATATAACAATACCTGATTCCGTGGCCATCAAATAGTTCGTGTAGTATTGCGTTTCTACTTATACTTTAAATACTGTCCCATAATAGCCTGGCCTGGCATTATCAAATAGCCGACCATAATTATTAAATTACCTTAAATATACGAAGGTATTTAAATTTTTACCCAATCAAGCGTTTGAGCTATGTGGAGTACCAAACGAGATACGAGTTGTCAGAAACCTTCAATGATGGCACATTTTTGATCTTCAATTCATACAGAATAAATATATATTTTAACTCATTATCAAGTGTCGTATTTTGGTTTGCCCTCTCTCAATCAATAGCCAATATTTCTTGGTTAATGAAAGTAAAATCACATTTTTCATAATAGTAGCGGGTATATGGAACAGCAGTTAGACGTGAATACTCGATCTACCAAGTGTATTTAAGGATTTATTAAAATATTCTCATTACACATGACCAAATCCAGAATATCCAAAGTCATTTAAACTGTCAAACACCAAGCGGTCACCGGTGACCGCAACCTATTGTTCTATAATTGTGTCTATAATGACGGTATCGACGAGTTAATACGCCGTTATATTGCTGGAGGACCAACATTTGTATTTCATCCGTCAGCATGCATTCATCACGACTACTTACATCATAAGGTAAAGAAATACCGTTTTGTAACTGCCATGAAATACCGCTCAAATTAAATTCACCCACAATCAAAAATCTATTAATAGGATAGTTTTCAATATACTCAAGGCACGGAGAAAATTCTGTAACTGATCGAAAAATAATGCCCAGGTTCTATTTACGGAAATAGATAACACACAAGTTCAATTTAAACACTATTTGAATGTCGGGTTGCCGCAAGGTCAGTGTTATTCATAGATCCTCAGCGGAGGAGTGCAATATTGGTTGCAGTATTGCTGAAAACCTACATTGACGTTTGATCGTCAAACAAATCCGAATCCGAGACACTAACCATGTTTCAGTCAAGGATATATCATTTATTTATTTAATTATTTAATGATTCATGTATTCCCAAATGGTATATAATGGTATATAAAATTAGATCACATAGGTGCTACTTATTCC